GAGAAAGAGGTTAGTTAGTTCATTACTTTTCTAATCTCTTAAAAATTAATGATACATGCTTATTATAATATTTTAATATAAATTTATTTTGTAGGAATTACCAAGGCCAGAATTTTATGGAACAAGTAATATTTTATAGTTTCTTTTAATTAATAAATAAATTTATGGTACCTTCAAATAATAATTTCAAAAATTTAGCTCTTAGGAAATCTCCGTTCACATTAAAAAATGAAATCCATTTTCCATTTCATCAGAGAATTCAAAAGCTTGCCGTTTCTGGCATGGTTGTCTTTGTTTCAGTAAGTTGCTGTATTAATTCATTAACAAAATATAAGTGGATTCATAAAATCAAAGACTTGTTTCATTATAACATGATCAAACTACCATAATATTCATGATTTCATTCAACCTAATCATTTCTCATATAGCTAGGTATTACTATAATAACGATAGGTGTTTTAATAGTTCTCCCATTGATATTACCACAAGTTGGGGTTTGGACTTCAATCATAACTGCTTGTGTGAATTTGATTACTATATTGATCTTGAATATGGTATGTTGGTTATTTATACGTTATTACTATACATACTATACATGATGATTGTACTAATGATTTTGATTAGATATATACAAGAATTGCATTGTGGCTAACAAATTTTGAGAACCATAAGACTTCAACACAATTTGAAGGTACAAAATTTTATTATCAAAATAAGAAATACGTTATTTATTGACTATTTATTAAAAAATTAATTAATTCACAAGAAAATCTATCTCATCTTGATTTCAAAACAAAAATAAAATTGTTAGCTAAAATTGATTGGATAATTACACCATATAGACATGAAAAAAGCAAAAGGTGTTGTTAACGCATTGTCCCAAATAATGGAAATTCCAGCAACATCGCCGGTCAAAGCTCCCTTTCTAGATAAATGCAGAAAAATAAATTTCAATTATAAAAATTAAGACTATACTTGTTACACGAAACTAAATCTCTTTTGCGAAAAGTTTCGGTTTTTCAAGATTTCTGTTTCGAATATAATTTCGGGTTTCGGTTTTCTAAACCGAAACTATATTTTGGGTTTCTGAATAGTAATTCCTGAAACTAGTTTCGGGAAGATTTCGTTTCGGGTAACAAGTATAATTAGGACGGAATCGAACAAAATAATTACTTCATGCCATCTAATACCCCATATATGATAACGATTATACCAGCGATAGACGCTATTGTCAACCAAGTGGTATAGAAACCTATAATTAAAAAGAATTTAAATAATCTAAGCACAAAATTGTAATTAAATAACTTAATACTTACCTAACCAAGAAAAATATAACGTTAACTTTTCACCAAAATATTCTTTAATCTCTTCTAATGGTTGCCTATTTATACTTGTTACCCAATTATCATATAGCCAAGCTCGTTTGTTTAATCTCAATCCATGTTTTTCATCATTTACATCTCTATTAACAGTTTCATCACTAACATCTCTATTAACAGTTTCATCATTAACATTTTTGTATCTTGGTTCACCATAAATAGTTTTTTCAACTAATGATTTAGTTTTGATTTTTTCTTCATGTTTATAAGGGCCATCATGTAACGGAAAATAATTGAGATATACTCTTTTTTTGGTCAAATTTTGAATAGCTAATGATTTTATTTGACATTTAGCTAATATTTCATGACCCTCAGATAATACTGTCTTTTGGATTTGATTTGCAGTTATTATTATTCTATAAACCTATATTTATTTATTAAAAGATGTGAGTTGAATGTTTTATTGAAATTAATAATTATTTCAATATAATGAAATACCATTAAACTCCTTCGTGACATTGAAAAAAAATTCAATAAAATATCAGACAAAGATTTGGACTCTTCAGCACCCTCAAATTGTCTTAGTTTTTCTACTTTAAAAATTGCCGATTGTTTTTTTAAATTTATAGGATGTGTGAAATATCTCATGATTTTGACGACATGAGGATCAATTTGAGAAACAATTTTTTCAAGTTCATCAAATTCTTTCATACTTTTAGTCTATAGAGAATCAAGTATTAATAAAAAAATATATATATATTTTAAGAATCATATAATTTATACATAAATTCTTACATCCAATCTCATCCTTAATTTTATTACATGTGCCTGTTCGCATAATTTTTCAAATGGAGCAAATAATTTAACGTATACGTTATCACTAGCAGCATCTCTTTCATGTTCTATAACTAATCCAGATCTCAATAACAATCTTTCGAAATTCCTTCTTTTCTTTTCATTAGTTTCTTGATGTTTATCTTTTGAATCATAGGTGATAATGAAATCAGGGAATTTATAATTGTAAAGAACCTTTGCTAAGGCATCACCTAATGGTTTAATTCCTGTTAAATAAAATTAGTAAGGATAAATTATTAATTATTGAAAAATATGAAATATATGAATATTCTGAAGTTTTATTCATTACCAAATTCTTCAACACATTCAGTAAGTCCCTCATTAGGATGTTCTGCCACCCATTTTTTCATTTCTTCAAAAAGACTTTTATTTTCCTCATCTAATAAATGTAATTCTCTATATGGTGGTTCTATCTCTATTATAATAATATCATGCTTTATCCATGCTTCATCGGCAATCCTTATTGATGTTTGTTGACTTTTACTACTTGGACCTATACGTTTTATTA